GTGTGGGAGCTCCGTGGGGCCAATTAGGCTGCTCAGCAGTACTAGCTGTAGCGGGCACTGTGCCACAAAACCAGAGCAGTGCTGTTTTCAAGGCACAGCTACTGGCTATACAGTATGCATTGGCTATACACTTACTCAGGGCTAATTCTCACTCCTTCCTCCTCCTTTGACAACTTCAAATACAGAAAATAAAAAGGCTTTGAGTTTCTTGTGGGCACGTGTGGGCTGGGGTCCCCTGAAGGTGTGTGCACAATGTCAGCCTCAGCAGATGGCACGAGGAGGCTGCTGCCACTGAACTACCTGCCAGGTACTCACATTGCCCCCTTGTCCTTCCCACCTGATGGCTGCGTGTGAGCAAGTCATTTCCCTTCCTGTCATCTCTCTTATCCAGTCAGTAAAATCAGGCTAATGGCATAGCTCTAGACAGCTTCAGAAGATGATACAGAGGTTGTCAGAGGAGACCTCCGTTTCTTCTAGTCATTACCACAACGGAGATATTAGTAGCACCTGTGAGTAGAGATCTGCAAACTTCTAATTGCTAACTTTGATAACTATTTTGGAGTTTTGAAACTCCAGAGAAACTATTGCTTGAGATTGAGAAATTCACTTAATGTCTTCAGAAAATGTCTTCTTCAGGTATAAACTGTTAGGAAAATATATGTTTGGTACAAACTTTGAATTAAGAAGCAAGATCCTTTAAAAACAATAATCTTGGTTTCTTTCTTTAGAACAAAAATGCTTTATTGAAGAAAGCGTGGATCCACAAAATCAGTCGAACCAAATCATAAGTATTTGGTGAAAAAAGTTTTGGATAAAGATCTTCCAGCTATATCAGTCAATTCCTGTAATTACAAAAAAAAAAAAAAAAAAAAAGTTGTGGAGTAGTTGTAATGAGTAGATGGACAAAGAGAGATGGAGTACCAAAACTGCAGATGTTCAGGCTAAGCCATATTCAGAAGATATCACTAAAATATTTCTGCTTTATACTGAAGTCCATCATGATGTTAACGCCTCCCTTAATGAATTAGGTACACTTTGTATACCGTCCTTTTTTTTTCAGTGAGTTGTACATCATTTATCATCTTCAGAAAAACACTGGTATGATTTCCAGGTGGCTAAAGACTGTGAGAAGAAATTAATGATTGTAAAGTATGATTAATAACTTATTTACTCTTCTTTCTTATAGCAACACAACAGTGTATATATTCCAAGTGCTCTATAATTAGTAAGCAGGATAATATACAGTACATACAGCAGGTTATTCCCTGCAGAAAAAAAATCATTCAGCAAACTAAAAATTCGATAAGAAATACCATGATAGTATCTTTTGGCCTACAGTGTATTTGAAGCGCTGGCAGGAGGTGCTGTCAACTCCAAGGATCTCCATGTTATTTAGGTCAGACTTACCATCTGTCTCAGGTGGTTTCAGCGGTGATCTCCTTGGCTTCAACGTTATCCTCTCCTGTGGGAAACAATCTGTTTTCTCCTAGAGCAGCCTTGTGATGATAAATAGGGGTCTATATGGGAAACTTGCAGGTGCTAGTTCTGAGCAAGGAGGGACCAAGGGTGGGTTTATGGTTGTACCTGATGACCTTAAATGTCTCTTCCAACCATAAAGATTTGACGATTCACCATCTGTTGGCTAGGGAGTCTTTTCAACTCTGAAGGTCTGATAAGGGTGTTGCCTAATTTCAATAAAAAATTAATAAAAACAATAAAAGCAAAAGTATGCATGCCTGTGGAGTGAGAAGACCTACCATATACTTTAAAAGATTTACTGTTCCTGCTGTCAAAAGGAAAGGTAGTCAAAATATCCTACATAATTATAATTTTATCATGGAAAATAAAAGAGAAGAAAACATTTTCCTTTCTGCTTCTGGAACAATGAACAACTCTTCAGAATAAGCTACATCAGGTGACATGCGGGAATGCTCAGACTATGCATAATGACTATAACCAATTTTTTCAGGGGAAGGAAATAGAAAGAAACACGTATAATAAAAATGACTGGTTTTAGTTTTTTTCTTTTGTTGAACTTTTGAGTTTCGCTAGCATAAGAAGGGCTGTATTGATTGATAAGAAGGACCACGATTGATGTTGATCTTAATGATGAGTATGAGAATACCTTGAGACTTGAGTGGTTGGGACTTGGCTTCTTTAGTGAATGAAATTTCAAATAAGAAGTATCTTAATGTTTATAAAAATAATAAAATACGTCTTTTGTTTCATAGTCTTGTTTTTTTACATGATTTACTGTAGAAAAATCATTTAATAAAATACCTCTTAAGGAATTTTTCTACTTTTGAGCTGAAATTATATAATACAAAAATTATATCTTTAGATTGCAACAATAGGACTGGTCAAGAAATGCTGAAAGGCTTAATATCCTTTTCAGTTTATCAACAATAAACACCAAAATTTCTATTTCCAGATTTGTTTTAATTCCTTCTACCTATCAAAAGAAATGTTAAAGAAAAAGGTTAAGGTATTAAGATTTGTAAGAATACAAAATTCTCAAAAGCAATTCCAAAGAAAATCTGTTTTTGGCTCAGGTGCATGCTAGCAGCAGACAACTTCTGTTTGGCCTTCAGCAGAGCTATTTATACTTTGCGATTCACTGAGAACAGTGTCTTAGGTTGTTACTACTTTCCCTCTCTATAAATTATTTTTTGAAAACAGCTCTTGAGAATACTATTCAAACATGTATTTAATAATTTTGTTTGCAATGTTAAAAAATGCCCCCATTGTCTTGTTATTCACTCCAAGTGATGGCACTGGGCGTTTCATTCAGAGAAAGAAAATCCTTGTCATACCAATACTGAAAAGCATGTGATCTTTTTTGTGTCCTGAAAACTCCAACCCATTTTCCCTCTGGAAGTGAATTAGTGGGAAAAGAAAAGATGACAACACACAACCTCCTCACAAAACCAAAATGCTTTAAAAAAGCAGCGGAAGCTTGCCTGGTGAAAATGGTTAGTTGTGTGCAAGGTTTGCTCTGGCATCCTGATGTATTTATGAGTAGCCCTTCCCAAGCAGAGGACCTGCCAGGTACTCTTGTTATCCATCCAGGACACTGTGACCAGCCAGGATATCAAGTATTCCTCATTGGCTGAGGCCTTCACATGCTACTGAGAGAGTGATGGCCAGTGCAAATGGTAAGGCAGTTAGGAGATGGAGTTATCTAACCATGCCTTGGTTTTGTTTTTTCTGTTTTTTCCCCATAAGTTTATCATGTTTCCGTGTGCTCTTCAATGTGATGGTTTAATACAGCCTTGAGGGAAAGGGTGGCATCTTGCCCAGTCTCCTGAGAAAGGCTGACAGTTTGGGGAATGATCCATGTGCTTTGCTGCTTTGTAACTCTGATTTCCTATTGATTTTTTTCATGTTGGATTACCTGTGGCCTAAGTAGAAACTCTCTGATTCAGTTTGAAACCTATTTAAACTCTGTTGTTTGCTAATATACCTGTTATATCCTTTTTCGTTTCCCTGACATAAATTACATTTAGCCTGTGCATTGCAAACTAAGTGGTCATATGCACTGAGCTATAAACTACACACCAGCAAACAGCTGCAAGTTAGAGAGAGGAGTTTTATATAAAAGATGTTATGTTAACAAATAGCTTGCGGGCTGACATTCAAGCAAAGGTTGCTATAATACAGGCTCAGTCCTATTCCTTTGCTTTCCCAGATACTTTCAGTAATTTATTTTGTTTTTATCCCTGCAGAGCAACTCCCTCAACCAATAAATTTCTGGAGGAAATTCTGCCAAATAGTTGTATCAGTGCTCTTACCCAGTGGTTAGACACTGACTGTCCTCACTGGTGCAGTAACGTGTCATTATGCTGGAGAAAGAAATAGTGATTTATATTTTTTCTTATTTATTACTTATTCTCCTTTAAATTTTGTAATATTATGTTTGTGAACAGAATTAAACTCATCTTGTTTTAGCTGTTTAGATGGACATATAGTAAAAATCAAATCATATTAATTTTGTCTCCACCTACAGAAAGCATCATTGTGTTTTTGACGTATCATCTACAATGGACAGAGTTGTAAGCAATATGCAGACAGAAAAGTCCTGCATTTTTCTCCTTATTTTCAACTTTTCTGGTTTTAGTAGGTTGGTTGCCTCAAGGTGCAGGACCTTAACAGTAATAATTTGTTTCACTAGTAAGCATTATAAGATGACTAAACAACTAGTTTACATCAATAGCATTTCTAATATGCCACAACAGAGCATGTGTTACTCTGGCATGGGCAGGTTGGATGCAGCCTTGCTGTGCAGGCGATGATACATGGTGAGTACCTGCACAGGTGCCAATGCTTTGGTCTTTGCTGATAGAAAAAACAGCTTTGCCAAAATGCAAAATATTTGCTTTAAGTAACACACAAAATGTTACTCTTAACAGACAACAATAAAAATAAAATAAAATAAAATAAAATAAAATAAAATAAAATAAAATAAAATAAAATAAAGCTTTCATTTGTGGTAAGAGTTTTCTACAGCCCATGCACACACAAACCCAGCAGTGTTTCACAGTTGCAGCTATGGAAGTGGGTGATTTGGCACAGGTGGGACCAATGTGTCTGCTCCAGGGCAAGCTTTTATAAACAAGCAGCTTCAGGTGCACTGCCTATAGATGGTGAGAATCATGGTCTGTTTTTCATGTTGAATTACCTGAGCAGCTGGGAGAAACACTGTGACTTGAAGGTTTATTCTGATAAAAAGTATTTTGTCCTGGTTCTTCTTTAAAAGCCTCATATACCAAGAGCTTGAGTGTGGCCCTTGGAGGAGTCAAGGACAGTATCTGAAGGAGAAATGGTAGCCTTGCCTCCAAGGGTTGTAACAAAATTGTGGCAGCAGCCTTACAAATAGTGCAGTGGGGTGAGGATTTAAATATAGAGCCATCGTGCTTTCTCAGGCACATTTTCAAAAACAGGAGTGCTGAGTACACAGCAGCTGTGTGACTTTTAGCCCAAAATAATGGGGGAGACTCTCTGCAGTGAATGATCCATGAAGGAGGAGTTTGCTTCAAATTATCTGAGTATTTTAATGGAGAAGAATAAAACAGGAGGATGTGACTGCAGCAGGTAAGTCTGATTGCAGCAATTTATAGAGTCAAAACAGCAAATTTTTGTCTTTTTGATACTTAGAAAGTGATTTTAAATTTTATAGTGAGCTATTGTCCCTTTGCAACTTGCAGTTATTTTGGTAGAGTTAATCTGTGTTGAGCTATCACCATCTAGTGGCAAAGTCGAAGTGATGGAAAATGACAAAACTTGAAGATTTATTTCAAGCCTTAGTTATGTGCTTGTACAGAATGTTGGGGAGAATGAAGGAGCAACAAGACTGATGATCTTTAATTATGAAAACTCATGTATGTGTTAGTATTCATTAACAGTTTCACCCTTTAATAGCTTTTATTTTTGTTGTATGATTTTCTGTTGCTTATCCTTTTTTCTCCCTTAACTGTATCTGTAAATCACATTTTAGGTAGTGTACTCTTATTGCTTGCATATTACTGATAAGTGTTTTGATATTGCCAAGAGCTTGAGGAGTATTCCATTATGTGTGGTAAAAGTTTAAAAAAAGTGTACTCAGTAGTATTTATCTACCCTGGGTTGACTTGTTTGAGCACTTCAGTTATAATTTTCTAAGCTATGTGCTTTAAGCTTTTGAAAACTTACGTGCTGGGTAAACCAAAGGATTCGACTGCTCCCATGCATGTCTCGCTGTTCAGCAATGTGGCCTTCTCCAGGCTCTGTATGTTTTGTGGTCACGTTATATGAAGTATTGCAGCATGAATTGCTGAAATCTGTGTTTATCCATTTATGCGCTTGATAAATAACTTATGTGATAATTTGTCTAATATCTGTTTGTCTACATTAGCATTTTTACATATGGTTTTTATTAAAAAGTTCCTGCCCCCAGCACCTGAGGTATGCAAAGAGGCAAGGTACTTTTCTCCCAGAGAAAATCTCCAGGCAGTGAAAGCTGTAGTTTCTAAACTTTATACCCACTTGAATTTGAGTGACTTGCTTAGACATTCCTTTTTTTGACAGTAACTGTTTTATGTGATATATGCTGTTGCAATTAAGCTAACTCTTAAGGCTTCTTTTAGTTCTCTCGTGTGTGGTTATCCTTGTTAGTGATATATAAAAATGATATTGTTGTTATTCTATGCTTGAGGTAATCATAGGAAAAAAAGATCTATCTGAAAACTGGGCTTGCTCAAACTGAAAAAATTGAGCTATGAGGCAGAGATGATATGATCACTGCCTGTGAGTGCTTTTTAGGTAATACTTAAAAAGTTGAAAAAGCTATTTAACGGAAAAGCAAAATTATCAAAGAGTAAGTAGGAATAATCTAGACATTAATCAGGCTTTTAACTGATAAAGGACCAAGTTGGAAAGGACAAGTAATAGGACAATAAAGATGATTAACTCCTTGTGGAAGGAACTGAATGTAATTTTTTTTTCTAGTGGTAGGGGCTGGTGATCCTGAGAGCTCTCCTCTGAATGTGTGTCTGAAACATAGATCAGTTTGGTATGTATTCTGGAAACTTTTGAATGTGTGGAGGAGGAGATGTTTGGTTTTTGTTTTCCCCCCCCCCTTCCCCAACCTCTCTTCCTTCTCCACAGACAGCAGTCTGTCAGTGACAGCTTTTGTTTCTTTAAGGTCTCATCTGTGCCAATGCAGGTAAATGTAAATCAACATGCTGCTGAGGTGCTTCAGCCCTGAGCCACTATACCTTTATAGCAATGTGCTGTGCTCTGCTGAGCTGCTTGAGCTATAGGTCTCGCAAGGCACTGCACCAGGCCAAGTTGATATGCTTTAAAAACAAGCAAGATAATCAGCCCTTTCATTACCGAGGCCAGAGCTGCCCTCTCCGGCAATGCCTGGGTGACTGATCCAATTGGAAGGATAATACTGATTGACACTTGTTCTGTGCTTGTGCCCATACTGCTTATCTCCCTGTGCGCTGTCTGTCAGATTGTCTGTACGCTTTCTTCTTGGAAAGAGCTTTTCTGCATCTGCCAAAAACTGAAAAACTTGCCCTTAGTTCAGGAAATTATCATTCTTCTTTTAAAGAGTAGTCACAGTTTATAGAAACTATCTTAATTACTTGGATGGTTGGCATAAATCAGAACAGTGTTAATCTCTGATTTGTGACTTCATAGATTCTTGTTTTAGTGATTTGCAGCACTTATGGTTTTTCTATTTTTTTTTAAATTTATTTTTAAGGAACTTACCCTTTTTACTGAGTTAGAGTTGCTTCACACAACTCCATCTCTGCTGGCTTTGTTCCAGATAAAATTTGTTGTGCACATAAGAAAATATTTCATAGGAAAAGTGAAGTGAAGCAGACTTTGTCCCAAATGTGGGGAGACTGAGAACATGAAGAGACTGCTGTACAGGTCATGTTGATATGTACCTCAAGCTAAAAGGCAACTTTATTTCTTTGAGTATTTCTGAAAAGCGGTGGTGTAGTTTTGTTGTTTGTTTTGGTAATGCAACCGTAAAAGAAACTGATGTTCCACTCATGAAATGATTTTCTCTTTCATCAAATACAGTTGTCTGTGTTAGGTATTTATTGCTTTATTACATTACACATTACTCTGGATATATCTTCAGGTGCACTTTCTTCTGGTAGTTTGTGGTCTTAGATTACCTCAATGACTTTTTGCACTGAATTGCACTAGCATGAATAAACTAGTATGTAGTTTTTCGAGCATATCTTAGAATTTTCAGTATGCAACCTGTGATTTCCTTTCTAAATGAAAATTGTGTTTGTCTTATCAGGAAGATATGAATCAACCTCATTTTCTGTTTAGCTTAAAAATACTTTTTTGAGTAAATGTTTCATCAAATACAGTAATGTTGTAGAAAAATAAAAAGAAAATATTTCTATCAAATATCTAATGAACTATTCAACCAAACTCAACTTGTGTATGCCATTAGCTCAGGCAAAATGATAAAATATATTCTAGTCCTATCCCCACTTTTTGATTGCAGTGATTACTGGTATCTTGTCTGAAAAGGCTTTAGTATCTTTTTAAAAAGATGCATTGGCTTTTAATGTGTTAGTGTTTTGAATTAATTATGATACTCTCCATCTTTTAAGAGATTCAGCTGCTGTCATGTTCCAAAGTGGAAATTGGAAGAATTAGTGAAGTATTGTTCAGCGCTCAACTATTGTTCATGTACTTAAGTCTTGAGGTGGTAAATGCTTCTTGTGGGATCAGTGGGCTACTCTTCTGCTCCCTCTAACTGCACTAGACTGTTGCACTGTTACATAAAAATCTATAGGTGGCAGATGGAGGCAAGACAAGTTATCTTGTGCTAGAGGCACCCGTGATGGCATGGAGTGGTACAAAGGGCAGATACAAGGAACTTTCTCTCCACATTCTGATTTCTGGAAGAGTTCTGCTTATCATTTGTGTTCAAATAGAGTGGTAACATCATATGAAAGGTTGGGTCCCTGTTGGCTCCATGTTGGTCCTACTCCTCCTCAACATTGCCCCGTGCCAACATGAATTCCTCTGTTTTCCCCTTCCTCTGAAATGCCTTTTTTTCTTTTGCCTTTTTTTATATCTTTCTTAAACCAAGTAAGTTAGAAAAGAGTGTAACAGCTGTCAGCCACCATATTGCTAATGGCCATATAAGCTCTTCCCTTTTGTGGTGCATGTGAAGGTTCTCTTAGAGATACTATGTGTTTGTAAATCACTTATTACATTCAAGTCTGAGTCATTTACTCCTGGATATGAAGAGAAAGGGATGCTCTTGCTCTCTGCTCCGGTAACTACCAGTAGTGAGCAAAGCAGGATAGCCTGATCAGTCTGACCACCATCATCTTGGCATGATTAATTTGTCCCTCCCAGGTAGTACTCAAGTATTTAAGCTGGTCATTTGTATGTCTAATATAGTACTGACAGTGTTCCAGGTTCTTGGGCAAAGTTGTACCAACTTGTCTGGCCTCAAAGAGGTCATATGAGGGTGATGGGACCTGTAGAGGTTTTGAGTCCTTACCAGAGCATTTACCCGTTCTCTTTGTCTATAAGTAGTCAATGAAAGCACTAATGTTTAAAAGATGGGAACATGAAATGGCTAAAATAGCATCCAGTAACTTAAGAGGTAATTGCATTAGTTTAAAGAAATGCTATTTCTGAAATAGCTTACAAGCATATACTCATTCAAGGCAGGCATGACCAAGTAAACGTGTTTTGCTCTGAAAGCAGAGCACGAATTTATGTTGGTCTATGATAAATGAGAGCGGTTTTGGTGGTAGCCAGAAGCACTGTGTACCATCTGGTGAACTCTGCTTCTATTTGAAGTTGTTTCAGTTTCATCTGATGCCTGAAGATTTGTCTATAGGCGTAGTTGTCTGGCTGCCTGCTCTCGTTTTTGAGACTTACTATTTTTAGTGATTATATGAATTTTCACCTGTCATGTTAGCTATGCAGTTTCAGGTAGGTTTGTCCACAGAAGGTCATGTGGAAGACTGGCACCTAAGCTGCTAAAATGCTTTTTGAGATTGTTGGCACAAATGCAGCTTTTACCTAGTAAAAAGCATCCTAAAAGAATTTTGTGGGTGCATTTTTCTTTTTGAAACTGAGTTTAAAATAGTGAGTACAAAATTAACATATATCGTCTAGCAGTGCTTTAGGTGTATGAGGCAGAACAAGGCTTGTTGGTATTAAGCTGGAATATCATGCACTGTTATTGGTATGAACTCACTTGGACTGAAGAAAATATATTTTATTCAGTGTCTTATTATTGAGAAGTATTTGGCACTTAGAGACACTATCCCTGATAACTTATTCCTGCAGTTATGACTTTACTGTAGAATTCCTCCTCTTTCCTTTCCATCTTCCCATGCCTCCAGCCTTGGGATGAGGCTTTCTGAGGCCAGCAGAGGCTATGTGTGGTGCTAGTATGATTGCTGGAAGAGGGTGAGGGAGGAACTTCCCTCGAGAAAGTTAAGCATTGAGAGAAGAATTTTCTGGATCTTTTAGGGCAAAGAAAGCCAGTGGGATACAACCCAAGATGTTCTGCATTAGTAGTCATGCCATCAGGGTTTTGAAAGCTTCAAAAGCTCCAAGGAGGTTTGCTCCTCAAGGAGCTAATTATTTTGCTGCAATTCTGTTGCTTCCATCATATTTCATTTTTCCAAGAAAGCTGAGATTACTTATAGTTAGTGCTTTCAATGGGGGAGATGGCTGGGATGTATTGGACCAGTGAATGTTTATAGTGACACCTTTCTCTGAAAGAAAGTGGTGTTGGACAAAAGGTTTGAACCAGGAATTTAGTTATCCCTATTCAGACTTTTCTGATTAGACTTAATTCAGACCTAAATAACTAGAGCATTTGGGACAACACAGCACGTGCCCTTTTAGGTCTGACTTACCACATTCATCTCAAATTCAACAATCTCCAGTAAAATCTGTAAGGTTTGCAGAAATAGGCTCTGTATATACATTTGTATTTATTGAATCAATTGCATTAAAAGCCTCCCCTTCCCTTTCTGATAGGGAGCCTGCAATAACGTATAATGGGACTTTTGCAATGTATTATGATTAAGTACCTGTCTGTGGAAGATTATATTGAGCTTTGCATTTTAGTATAAGTTATTCCCTATAATCTATCAGGCTGTGTGGGTTGTTTGACAGACTTAGTGGCTTTCACCTTAGAAAGCAGATAAAAGGTAAAATTAGTTGATGCTTAAATATAGTGGCATAGGCTACTATACAGGTTATTTTTAAAAACATGCGTTTTCCTGTTGAATTTTGACACTACTTAGAGGATGAAGACTTATTTATTGTTCCACAGAGCTTTGATAAAGAATGGAAAATTAAGGGTATTCTCTTTGGCTTTACAGAGATGGATCCTAGAGTATCTTTAAATCATCAAATTTATATCTGAATAGGAAATAGCATTGAAATAATATTTAATTGTAGTAAAATTTCATCTACATATTTACTTAAATAGTTTTAGTTATACATCAGTACTATTGGACTTCTAAAAATTTGCCTAAGGTTGGGGGGAGGGAAAAGATTATATTCCCCTGAAGAAAACTGCTGATAAAATTGCATAGCAGGCTTCTCTGACTGGAACCAAATACATACAGTATCTCTACAGCTCTGTAGTTTTCTTCCGTTCTTAATATTATTCTATGGCAATAAATTACAATCGGAAACTTAGGAATGCAATTTGCATCCCACCTCAATTGCTTCTGGATAGCCATATATCACCTTAATGACTGCAAAAGCAAAATAAAGAAAATACTCTGTATATCCAGTCAGTGGAAGATAGCTTGCCCAGTCAGCTTGTGTTGCATTTACTTAAAGAAGTAATAATAATACATCTCCAGTATGTCTGGGATAATTATATTTTGTAGCATCCTATTGCTTACTGACCTCTAATTCTTTTATTTTCTTGGTTGCGTGGAGACTTTGTGTTCAGTTTTCTTCTTCATGCAACACACACTATTGCAAATACTGCACTTTTATTTGTCCTTCCTGTCTCTGTGAGTTAAAAAAAATCAA